CCAGGACCTACCTGTTCCTGCCCGATGTGGGAAGAGTGGACCTTTCCTCGTCACACTAGCATCAGCTTGAAATAATCATATGACCAACCTACTATAATTTTCTTTCCCCTCTGTTTCCTTTTCTCTCCTTTGGGATTGCCCACCCCGTCACACCAAAATTCCAAAATGGGCAATTTACATCTCAACAGCATTGATATCATGGGATTCACAAAAGTGGAAAGAAACAGGTATGATCATGGTGTAAATATCGAGATCGGCAGAATATGTACAATCATGGCATTAGCAAAAGTAGAAAGAAATATCATCACAATTCAAACTTCAACAAACAAAAGTTCCCAATCACTACACATAATTCAAGTTAGGCTTTGCAGCAATCACGGTGCGCTCCTTATATAATCATGCTTCTGTATCTGAATTCAAACAGAAATACCTAGGCATGAGAATAATGTTCAAAATGGCCACCATCCAGAAATGACAAATAATGCTAAACTAGATTTTAACCTGCATCTTTGGATGTTTCTGCCTGGGTAGTTGAGCACTCTAAATCAAGTTGCTGTACTGATATTGCGCAGTAGTCCTATACATATAAATAAAAAAAAAATTAATAGAAAAAAAATACCAAATGTACAGGCATGAGGTGTTATGGAAATTTTCAACTCTTTGGCATTCCTATGGATATGGAATGAAATTCCTTAAGCAAACTTATCATATACATTAGAAAAAATAAAAGGAAAACTCCTTTATTAATCAAACAACTAGTTGGCTCTAAGATATATGTATCACATACATTTCTTTCATTTACAGAGATACTCACAACATTAGCACGTGGTTGCGATTCAGAGCAAGCTGACAGTGGAGAACAGGCAGACTGAACACATCATTGCAAAAAGAATCATGTTTCTTGCTTTAACAACTGCCAATATTTTGAATGTTTTTTTTTGTTAATATTTAGAACAACATAACTTGCCTCTGAAACACAAGAATTGGAAGCATTGTTTGCTTGCCAGTGGTTGCCAGTTGAATTATACCCCCGAGATAGCTGCAAAGCTGAATTACAAATCCCAAAAAGAAAAGGGTTGCTTCAACAATCAATGAAATCATGCTTGCCACCCATATAAAGAGATCAAAATAATGCAGATATGGGGAAACAAAATTTTCTCATTCTCAGATGGATTAACAATGACAATTGCTTTTGCTATAGAATGGAACTAAAAATATAGGTCACTGCATTACATGTAATTGAAGCAACCGCACAGCGATTAAAAACCCATGAAAGAAAGAAGCAGAGAAACATAGCAAGCTTGTGGAACACCACCTGTAGTAGACCTAGCAATTCGTGTTTTCGTGTCTTAAACGTGTTAGACACAATTAAACACGAAACACGTTAAGGTTAAACATGAACACAACACGAATAATACTCGTATCTTAAATTTGAAACATATACACGTATATATTTGATAACCGTATAATACGACGCAACACGATTAACATGTTTGTTAAACGTCTTAATATACGACATGACACGATTAATAACAAGATTAACATGATTAAATAAAAATATTTACAGTTAAATATAATTTTATCATTTAAATTTAAAATCAATAATTATAAAAATAATTATAACAAAACAACATAATAACAACATAAAATATAACAAAACAAAAATTCAAAATTAGGGTTTGGGTATGGCATAATTACATTATTATCTTTATAAAATTTAAAAAATTTATTAAAATAATTGTTCAAAATTATTTAAGTAAGGCTAACATAGTTTTTGCCAATTAATGTTTAATAAGTTGATAAATGTGTCACATATACACGTTAAACACGATAATACGATTAAACATGTTTATACATTTAACCATGATAACATAATTAACACGAGTAATTAAACGTGTTTAAACGTGTTACTTGTGTCTGAAATGTTAAGACACGCAACTTTTCGTGTCTTAAATGTGTCAGACATGATTAGATACGAAACACGTTAAGGCTAAATCCAAACCTGTTTAACCCTGTATCTTACTATGTGGTGTTAGCATATCGTATCTAAAATTGCCAGGTTTAACCTGTAGAAACTCTTTCCCTACTTTTGTGACTAGCAAGCTTAAATTGACCTCTCCATATATGTTAAATTCTCTTTCAGAGATGCATTCTCCATGGACACAAGACGGATAAATTATCTCCCGACATAATCAGTCCTTTTATGACGAAGTCTTACCGCATTTATGTTGGAGGGATGAAAAAGTCAAATGGGTGACAGATCAATACCTCTATTCTCTGCAGCATCCATGCAGCAAGGCTTATAAGGAGATTGTTCAGCACTGTCTCTAACTGTATCTCGAATCCTGGTGGGCCAATTACAATACAAATAACTAAGAACAAGGTAGCAAAGAAAAAGAAAATTCATTGCTAATATCATTTTTTTCCCACTCCAATATGGATGTCATTTTGCCTTTACAGTCTATCTTGAACGAACCCAAACAGTAAAAACTCAACAACTCATGGGAAGCATAAAACCGGTATGCATATACATGCATATGCATCCATGTAGGTTGTAGAGTGTAGACATGTAAAGAATTGTCTAGACCTATCAGGAGGCATATCACATATAATGTGCATAAAATACTTTTCTAGTTCATAGAAAAGCTTGATCAGAAAGACCTGACAATCCAGTGCATACAAATTTTGAGATAAATGTACATGTAAATTATGAAAAACATTTTTTTCTGTAATAAATTTGTCTTCTATCAGAGCACATACTAATATATTTAAATTTGGAGAGGTATGCCCAATTTCAGGAAAGATGTTCATTTTATGTAATTCATTATACCGGTTATCTTCCTTTGGTGTAACCATTTTACACTCTTCTTGAGTTTCTAGCATCAAGGAGAAGACCCTTCTATCCTGCCACATAAATCAATAACATCTCAGATAGAAAACACAAATGGGTGATAGATCAAGCTATTTTGAAAGTTTAATCTTTTGCTTCTTTTTCCTTTCTTTCTAAGGAGAAACAAAGTACTCGACACAAAGACTCACAAGGAAAAAGTTGTCAGATGAGAAAAGAGGCTCAAATTGGTCAAGTTGCTGATTAAACTATTCAATTTATAGGTTCACTGGAAGAATCCCAGAACCAAGTCTCAAAGATTATAACTTTAAAATGGTCAGTTGGATATTAACACGAAGAGAAGTTTACAAGCCACCATCAAAATATAAAAGGCTCCTTCTTCCCATGGCAAGAGGTTATTACACTAAAGGCAAATGTTTTTAGACAAATCCAATAGATTTCATCAGTAAGGTATTTCTCTATATTTTACAGCACTAGCTATGATGTTAGATAGCTTATTAAACGGTTAAGACTTAAGAATAAAGTCCATTTCTTGTTTCAGCTTTGGGAACAATATGCTAAAAGTCAAATTAAGTCTTCTTACCTCTTCATTCATATTTGCAACAGCATTCTGAATCTTCTGTAATATATTTGCTAAACTTGTCACCTCAAAATGCAATGCCTGATTATAAAACCATCTGGAGAAGTTTAGAACAAATTCACACAGAGAAGGATGTCAATTGAACAATTCACAGCATAAAATTGATACCTCTTTTTGAGCTATGAGATTCTGTATGACTGTGTCTTTCGCTGATATGGTTTTCTGAAGGTATGGTTGTCTAAGGAAACACAATGATGAGAAATTTCTTTAGTTGAAATCGCAAGTTAATTCTTCTGAAACAAAAAAAAAATGATGCATTTATCTTCAAGACTTGTGTGGATATCTCTTCAATTTGAGCTCGGCTGCAGTCACTAATATTTGCTACTTCCAACTGCGCTTCTAGCTCTGAAATAATTTTATTCTTTCTTTGAAACCCATATTCATCATTTTTCAGTCTATTTTCTAAGTCATGGATCTTTTCTGCAAAAATTAAAAGTAAATCCAGTTCAAATAGACAATAAAGAAGGTAATGATTCTTGTTGATTGCATAATTTGTCTTTTGTGTTGTATCAGGAATGATTGGATTTTGAACAAATATAATTTGAGAGTACTAGAGCACCCAAGTTATTAATAACATATATAATGCAACCTCCTCCCCTTTTCCTTGGAAGTGATAAGAAAATAGTACAGATCAATTCATGACTCACATAGGTCTCCAAGACAAGAAAGATTTGGGCATGATTTCTTCTATTTTCCCAAGGAGTAAGTGTTGGAAATAGGTATGTGTCCAACACAGACACATCCTATCTTCTCTAGTTTTTCCTGCATACTCCCAAAACCCATGCCTACTTAATAGTGTTGGATATGTGATCGACATGGGTACTATAGAAAAAAGGAAGAGTCAAAGAAACATAGGTTTTCATACTCCAAAGTGATGGGCTGAATAAAGCAGGTAAATAAGAACTCGAAATTACCAACAAATGCTTTTTCAAATGCAGAGACCTGATCCATTTTTCTCCTTAATCCAGACACTAAACACAGCAAACAGTGTTAGAAGAATACAAGAACTGCAACCTCAGAATAACCATTGAGCATGTCATTGTACAAGATGAGGGTAGTTATGAAAAAGGAAATAGATTAAACAGTTACATGCCTACTTCCTCTTTTTCACTCACAATTCTTTGCACATTATCCACAACTTGCTTCACAGAGAATGCCTCCTTTTCTATTGAATCAAATAGCAATAAATGAGAGTTTATTTTCTCAGACAGGACAGTAAGTTTTCTATCTCTAGCTTCAATTGACTGTTTCATTTCACAAGTAGATTCCTGCACATAAAAGTTAAGCTGATGAATAATATATAAGTTGAATACGTTTTCTTGACATGATTAAGTCTTCAAAACAATATAACTATCTCATACAAAACTTAAGCTCAAAAATAGCAATAACGAACACTATGAGCTAAACTCTGAAATGATATAAACAAAAAACGATTAAGGCATTACAGAGTATCGATTCTTTGTGCTCGGGCATCAATTTGGTCATTGCAATATCAATTTACTTCACAAAAATTATAACGAATTAACAAACACGAACCTGGTAAGCATTAACAAAACTATCCCTGGACTGAAGCAGGCTCTGGATGGTCCCTTGTAACTCTTTTTGCTTGTTTTCAAGCAAAGCGTTGTCGTTTTGAAGGTAACTCACCTGCAGCAACAGCATCTATTTCAACCTCTAACAAAGAAGCATTTTCACGAGCATCTAGAAGAAGGCGCGAAACGAACTTGGCTAACCTTTCTTTCAAGTTTTTGCTGTGATTCATTAGATGAAGCTAATTCGACTTGCAATTCTTGTATCCTTCTACTGTATTCCTCCTCGGTTTGCTTTTGTTTCTGCGTCCAAACGCCAGGTATCAGTTTTCCGGGCAAAGAATATTTTTATTTTTATTTTTTAAAAAAAGAAATCAAGAAATTGTAACATGAAATTTAACCTGGATTAAGAGATCGATTTGCTCGGTTGCGCAACGTTCTCTCTCCTATTAAAAAAATATTAAGAACATGAACGAGAGAGAGAGAGAACTGCAATGGCGATGGAAAACTGGAAGAAAAAACACAAGGCCTTACTCTGAGATCGCGAGATTCGGTGACGAGAGCTCGAAGCTGGAGCTTGAATTTGGACAACTTGAGCAACTCCATTTCCATTTCTAACTTTTCATTAACTCGCATCACCTTTATTCATCAAGCAAAAACAAATTGGCCTTTTTCCTTTTCCCTTAACTTTCCCGCCATCGAACAAAGTTTATTACATTAAATTGAATCGAACAAGTTTTAAATTATATGATTCAGGATTTGGCCGCTATAATTATTCCCTAATAATGGTACAATCTAGTTTTCGTACCTCAAAATCTTTATATATAAAATTACACATAATAACAAGATGCAAGCCAAACAAGATGAAATGATCAAATACCATATTTCGTTAGACCATCAGCGAAAGAGTTTCTTTCTCACGAGATGTCAACAACAATAACATCCCAAGTGATCACAGGAGTGCGTCTAACTTGTAAAAAATATTCCATTTGTCTTATGGCCTTTGGTCAACATTACATTACCAAAAGATTGCTTTAGAGTCTTGCACACTTTGGGGACCAAAAAATATGCCTACAAGATAGCCCTTTGAGTCTCCCCAAAACTCCATCACAACGGCAAATTTTACAGTAAGGTCATCAGATCTATAAGATTAAATTATAGTGATTGATTTAAAATCTATAAAGAAACTAGTAAACCAATTTAACTGGTAAACAAAAACTTTTCTTTTTTATGGACTCTTTTTATGCCTTATTAATAGAAATAATTTATTTGCATTTCTTTTATTATTGGTTGAAATTTCATATTATAAATAGCATTATCATTATAATAAATCAAAAAGTCAAAATTAAAAATATATAATAATAAAAATAAAAACATATGCAATTTAAAATTGTCATTAAAAAACGTAGACATAAAGTTTTTAAAAGTTATGATTAAAAATCTTTAACGTAAAACAATAAGAATTGACATAAAAACTCGTAAAGGTAGAATAACTAAATTTAAAATCTTAACATAAATGAATAAAAGTTAATGTAACAAGTCAATTAAAAAATTTAATTTTAATAAAAAATAAATATTTAAACTTATATTCTCAAACTAAAATTGTTTAACGATATATAAATTTTAATTTTTAAATAAAAATAAAAATAATAAAATAATTATAGTTCAAAATTGATAAAAATAAGCCTAGACGTAAAAACTTATAAAAGTTAAATAAATAAATTTTAAATCTTAATGTAAATATGTGAAAGTTAACATAACAAGTCAATTAAGTAAAAAACTCTAATTTTAGTAAAAAATAAACATTTATATTTATATTCTGGAATTAAAAGTATTTAACAATATATAAATTTTAATTTTTAAATAAAAAATAATAAAGATAAAAATAATTATAGTTGAAAATTAACATAGAAAAGCCTCAACGTTAAACTATAAGAATTGATTTAAAAACTTATAAATGTGGAATAACTAAATTTTAAATCTTAACGTAAATGCGTGAAAGTTAATGTAACAAGTCAATTAAGTAAAAAAAATCTAACTTTAGTGAAAAATAAATATTTAAATTTATATTCTCGAACTAAATGTGTTTAACGATATACAAATTTTAATTTTTAAGTTTTGACGTAAAACTGTAACAATTGACGTAAAAACTTATAAAGATGAAATAATTAAATTTTAAATCTTAACGTAAATGTGTGAGAGTTAATGTAATATGTCAATTAAGTAAAAAAATCTAATTTTAATGGAAAAAAAATTTAAATTTATATTTTTGTGCTAAAAGTGGTTAACGATATATAAATTTTAATTTTTAAATAAAGAATAATAATAAAAAAATTATAGTTCAATATTGACATATATAAGCCTTGAAGTAAAACTATAAAAATTGATGTAAAAACTTATAAAGGTGAAATAACTAAATTTTAAATCTTAATGTAAATATTTGAAAGTTAATGTAATAAATTAATTAAGTAAAAAAATTTAATTTTAATAAAAATATAAACATTTATTATATTATCAGACTGAAAGTATGTAATGATATTCAAATTTTTACTTTTAAATAAAGAATAATAAGAGTAAAAATATTTATTGTTCAAAATTGACATAAAAAAGCCTTGATATAAAATTATAAGAATTGACATAAAAACTTATAACGGTAAATTAACTAAATTTTAAAATTTAACGTAAATGTGTGAGAGTTAACGTAATAAGTTAATTAAGTAAAAAATTTTAATTTTAATAAAAAATAATCATTTATATTTATATTATCAAGTTAGAAGTATATAACAATATACAAATTTTAATTTTTAAATAAAAATAATAAGGATAAAAATAATTATAGTTTAAAATTGACATAGATAAGTCTTAACGTAAAACTGTGAGAATTAATGTAAAAAACTTATAAAAGTGGAATAACTAAATTTTAAATCTTAACATAAACGTGTGAGAATTAATGTAACAAATCAATTAAGTAAAAAAAAAATCTAATTTTAGTAAAAAATAAATATTTAAATTTATATTTTCAGACTAAAAGTGTTTAACGATATACAAATTTTAATTTTTAAATAAAGAATAATAAGAATTAAAATAATTATAGTTTAAAATGGACGTTGAAAAATCTTGACGTAAAATTATAAGAATTAACGTAAAAACTTATAAAGATGAAATAATTAAATTTTAAATCTAAGATAAATGTATGAGAGTTAACGTAGCAAGTCAATTAAGTAAAAAAATTTAATTTTATTGAAAAATAAATATTTAAATTTATATTCTTGAAATAAAAGTATTTAACAATATATAAATTTTAATTTTTAAATAAAAATAATAAGGATAAAAATAATTATAGTTTAAAATTGACATAGATAAGTCTTGACGTAAAACTGTAAGAATTGACGTAAAAACTTATAAAGGTAAAATAAATAAATTTTAAATTTTAACGTAAATATGTAAGAGTTAACGTAATAAGTTAATTAAGTAAAAAAGTCTAATTTTAATGAAAAATAAGTATTTATATTTATATTATCGAGCTAAAAGTATGTAACGATATATAAATTTTATTTTTTAAATAAAAATAATAAAGATAAAAATAATTATAGTATAAAATTGACATAGATAAGTCTTAATGTAAAATTGTAAGAATTGACGTAAAAACTTATAAAAGTAGAATAGCTAAATTTTAAATTTTAATGTAAACGTGTGAGAGTTAATGTAATAAGTCATTAAGTAAAAAAAAAATCTAATTTTAGTAAAAAATAAATATTTAAATATATATTCTTAGACTAAAAGTATTTAACGATATATAAATTTTATTTTTTAAATAAAAAATAATAATAATAGAAATAATTATAGTTCAAAATTGGTACAAATAAATTTTGACGTAAAACTGTAATAGTTGATGTAAAAACTTATAAAGGTGGAATAATTAAATTTTAAATCTTAATATAAATATATGAGAGTTAACGTAACAAGTCAATTGAGTAAAAAAATTCTAATTTTAGTAAAAAATAAATATTTAAATATATATTACTTCGGCTAAATGTGTTTAACGATATATAAATATTAATTTTTAAATAAAAATAATTATAGCTTAAAATTACATAGAAAATCTTGACGTAAAACTATAATAATTGACATAAAAACTTATAAAGGTGAAATAACTAAATTTTAAATCTTAACGTTAATGTATGAGAGTTAACGTAATAAGTTAATTAAATAAAAAAGTCTAATTTTAATAAAAAATAAGTATTTATATTTGCAACGATATTCAAATTTTTATTTTAAATAAAAAATAATAAAGATAGAGATAATTATAGTTAAAAGTTACTATTGAAAAGGTTTGACGTAAAGTTGTAAGAATTAATGTAAAATCTTATAAAAGTGGAATAAAAAATTAAAATCTTAACGTAAATATGTGAGAGTTAACGTAACAAGTGATAATAATAATTTTTATTACATTAATTAATTAAATATAATTTTAATATTAAAAAGGAATAATATTCTTATAGTTTAAAGTTAAAAACAAAATAAAATTAAAACTTAAATAACTTTTAAATAAATTTAAAAATTATTTACATTGTTATCCTAAAATGAATAAATTTAAAATTATATATATTATTTACCTGTAACCTGTTAAACAGGTTTTTATTATTTTTTAAAAATTTTATTTATTGACCTTACAATAAGGTTAGACTTACTGTAGCATACACCACAACATAACTAGTTGGTCTTGTATTCCCAATTCATGGAAATTCCGAGATAAAATTCACATTGTGAGCAAGTGGTAATAATTGTAGTAGAAACTAGCAATAAGACACCACAAATACCATATGTTTAACAATAACAACAAGCAATCACCAAATACCATATATTTCGTAAAAACAATCTAAGTAAATATCAAACAAAGCATTAATCTAGATAACCTACAGCTGTGAAGACCACCAATCAATCAATTAGCCTTCAATTAAGTCAAATAAGGTCATCATTGAAGCAACTTTATTTTCAGAACAAAACAAATAAAATAACAGTAATCAACAATCAAGGATAAAGGAAAGTAATACTCGACCAAAGCACTTGTGGATTGCTACTCAAGAGTTACAAGTTGCAAAATACCCATAAAAGTTACCTTTTCTTTGTTTTGGGTTTGTTCAATTTCTCGATCTGTTATAAAATTTGTTGTTTTTGGCAATTTTGAGCCATATGTTCCAAACATTAGTGGCTTCCTTTTTTATCACCTTATTCCTATTGATTAAATCTCCATTGGTTTTAAAGGCATCTACTACAAGGCCTTGAGGATTTAGGGAGAAAGCCTTTCGACTAAAGCTTCTTATGCGTTTTTTCTTAATCTTTTGAATCATCTTGCTGCCTTAGTTTGGATGTCTCATTCAATTAGATATGTAAAGCACATATTTGAATGGATGGCTCTTTCTTCATCATTACTTTTTGTTGGTGGAGAAATCTTTCTTGTTGCAATATTATTTAAGGCAAAAGAACCTGAGTGGTGGTGTTCAAATTTGCTTTGGGATCGAATTATGGGTTTTAGTTGAATGGTTTACACCATTAGGAAATAGACCTTTGGGTTTACACCACTTAATAATTGGGTTCACAAGCAAGGTTGACATAGGTATGTTGGTCACTAGGTTCATGGTTGAGTTCAAGACTTTAGTCCACCTCAACTTGCATGGACTTCAAAATGGATGCTGCATTGGTTAGGCCTGCACACATATATTCAACCTGCACATCAGTTTGATTTGCCTTGGCTACCGTGGGCTTTAAGAGAGATCCATTATTGACTTAGCCCATGCATCAATGGTCGACCTGCATTTTAGTTGGACTTGTGCATGAGACATAAAGCTCACCATAGTTTGACTTAAAAATTGCTCCATTGTGGTCCAAGCTTGGGCTTGTCAACTCTTGTGGACTTAGATAGGTTACATTGGAATTAACTGATTAGGAATTTTAACCATGGGCTTCAATACCATTTGGTTCACTATAGTGGCTTGGATTAAGTTGGATTTTC